GTTCCCACAGATGGCGCCAATTGATGAGACTGTTTGTGATGGTAAAACGGGTCGGACTGATGCACGCTCCTTAAGCCTATGTACGAATGACCAAGCGACCTGCACAAGAGTTCAACGGGGAACGGGGAGTCCCCCAGCGAACCCTCCGACGAGCAAGTTAGAGAGAGAAGTGGAGTGTAGATATAGAAAAGCTTAACCTTCTTCTTATCTTCAACGTCTGCTTATATCCTTTGGTAATCATTTTGTTGTCCTTTCCGACCTGTTACTTTGGCCAAAAGTCTATGCTGTAGCTTACCTTGTTCAGGGTGAGGGCGTGCTATCCCGACGGAGAGGTGTTGTCGTAATAAATGCTGTGAGGGGTTGCCTAACTGATCAGTCAATTTTATCACCAAATTAGTCCAACTCAACTCACTCACCTTATCAAACCACACAGGCTGAGCTAGTGCGGGACTACACAAAACCACTCTTCCAAAAAAAAAAATATTAAAATATCAAAAAGCTAAATGGAGAAAAAATAAATTTTAAAGTCTAAACTTAAAAAATAACTAAATATAAAAGGAGTAAGGTGTAATTTATCATTGACTTACTTATGAACGTGTTTCATAAAGTGGGCCCTGTTGGCTTATTTTTCCTACGAAGGAAAATATCATAAATGCGAGCGTGCCAGCAAGGATTGAAAAATCCTTACAGATTAAATTCAAGCCAATTATCAAGCGATTGTGTTGACGGTTCTATTGCCTCAACGAAGAGGACTTCAAATTTGCCAAGTGTAGCGAAAAGAAAAAGTAAAAGAAGAAAAAGGGACGGAAAAAGATGATTGAGTGAACAATCAAAGTAATAAATACTTACCTCTACTCCTATGCTTCGAAAAGAAAGTGCATAAAATGCTTCGAAATGGAAATGCTGAAAATAAATGCTTCGAAATATAAATCTATGTTAAACTACTCCTAAGATAAGGAAAATGACAAGAAATATTGAAATCAATTGTCTTTGATTTAAGTTCTGGATCCTTTACAATGTAGCCATTAATGGCTATTTATAGAAGAAAAAATACAGCAATAACTACTTAGTAACTATCCATTTCTTCCATCTTCATTCTTGTCTTGCCATGTGTCCTTCCACTCATCCACTTTGTCCTTCATATTCTCCATTATCTCTATAACTTCTTTTAACTTCCAAATGAATAAGAGGATGCCACGTGTCCTGCAATTATATAAATAATAAATAATAATAAAAATTGCAGATTTATGGTGCTAACAGGCCCAAAACTCATTCTTATTTATTTTATTTGTTGTAATTTTTTTCATCTAAATTATGTAATTGATGTCATTTATTTCGGATGGTCATAAGAAATTTATTAGAATGATGAATTTCCCTATTTTATAAAAAAAAATGGAAAACTTCCAACTTCATACTTTAATTACATGGAGCTGGTCTTTTCTTTTTCTTTTTCTTTTTTTTTATTATTATTATTAATTTTAGAATTTTAACAACTAATGTCATATATGAGATTTATATATCATTTAATTCAATTAAACTTATACTTAGAAAAATGAGTGAGAGCATTAATTAGTGCCACCACTAATGATGTGGTGGTGAGTCTCACTCACTTTTACAATGCTATTATGTCTATTTTTTAAAAAAAATAAATATCACATTATTTATAACTACTTTAGAACACCACTTTTAATAGTTTCTATCTTTACCCTTTTACTTATTAACTCGTGGAGTCCTACTTTCTACCAAACAGTTGCGGATGTACCTGTTAGCACCATAAATCTGCAATTTTTATTATTATTTATTATTTATATAATTGCAGGACACGTGGCATCCTCTTATTCATTTGGAAGTTAAAAGAAGTTATAGAGATAATGGAGAATATGAAGGACAAAGTGGATGAGTGGGAGGACAAAGTGGATGAGTGGAAGGAAACATGGTAAGATAAGAATGAAGATGGAAGAAATGAGTAGTTACTAAGTAGTTATTACTGTATTTTTTCTTCTATAAATAGCCATTAATGGCTACATTGTAAAGGATCCAGAACTTAAATCAAAGACAATTGATTTCAATATTTCTTGCCTAACTGATCAGTCAATTTTATCACCAAATCAGTCCAACTCAACTCACTCACCTTATCAAACCACACAAGCTGAGCTAGTGCGGGACTACACAAAACCACTCTTCCAAAAAAAAAAATAAATAAAATATCAAAAAGCTAAATGGAGAAAAAATAAATTTTAAAGTCTAAACTTAAAAAATAACTAAATATAAAAGGAGTAAGGTGTAATTTATCATTGACTTACTTATGAACGTGTTTCATAAAGTGGGCCCAAAACTCATTCTTATTTATTTTATTTGTTGTAATTTTTTTCATCTAAATTATGTAATTGATGTCATTTATTTCGGATGGTCATAAGAAATTTATTAGAATGATGAATTTCCCTATTTTATAAAAAAAAAAATGGAAAACTTCCAACTTCATACTTTAATTACATGGAGCTGGTCTTTTCTTTTTCTTTTTCTTTTTTTTATTATTATTATTAATTTTAGAATTTTAACAACTAATGTCATATATGAGATTTATATATCATTTAATTCAATTAAACTTATGTTTAGAAAAATGAGTGAGAGCATTAATTAGTGTCACCACTAATGATGTGATAGTGAGTCTCACCCACTTTTACAATGCTATCATGTCTATTTTTAAAAAAAAATAAATATCACATTATTTATAACTACTTTGAAACACCACTTTTAATAGTTTCTATCTTTATCCTTTTACTTATTAACTCGTGGAGTCCTACTTTCTACCAAACAGTGGCGGATGTACCGTGGGGCTTAGGAGGGACATGTGCCCTTTCTCACAATTTCCAAAAGAGTAGTGATTTAGAGCACTAAATTTGAAGCTCTAAAAACACCACTAATGAGGTGGCAATGTAAAAAAAAAATAAATAAAACAAAACAAAAGTCAAATTATCACATCAGTGGTGGGATCCACATGATGCCACATCATTAGTGGTGCATTAGTGGTACTAAATTAATGGTATACTTTTTCTTTTCACTACACTTGGCAAATTTGAAGTCCTCTTCGTTGAGGCAACAGAACCGTCAACACAATCGCTTGATAATTGGCTTGAATTTAATCTGTAAGGATTTTTCAATCCTTACTGGCACGCTCGCATTTATGATATTTTTCTTCGTAGGAAAAATAAGCCAACAGTACCGTGGGGCTTAGGAGGGACATGTGCCCTTTCTCACAATTTCCAAAATTCTACTTTTGCCTTATAAATTTTTTTTTCAACTTTGTCCATTCTAAATATTTACCAAGGCTCAATGTCTCCCTCCCCCACTATTTTACTCTGTGCCCCCCGAAATGGTATATAAAAAGCTCTTTCTCTACATAATCTTATTTTTTATTTAAAAAATACTTAAGACTCTCATTTTTGATAACTTCATAACTTCCAATTGATTTGTAATTACTCTTTTTTTTTTTCCAACCAAACTAGCTCTAAACAGCTGGCAAGCAAAAAATAAAATAAAATTTAAGGTTAAAACATTAAATCATTTTGTGGACCCCTACCTCTAGAGCTTCCAAACATTTCTCTTTTTTATTTTTTATTTTTTTTCCTCTCTCTCTCTTCCCTCTCTCTCACAAATGCTATAGGCGTTGTGGGGGGTTTGGAGCATTATTGACAATTGTATTTCGGGTGGCTGTTGTGCGGGGTGCACAGTAACCACAGTTGTACAGCCTAATGGGCTATTTCGGGATTCATTTCGATAATCTAAACTGTTCGCATTTTAAAATATATCAAGAAGAATATATTTACAAAAAATCAAGTTAATCGGATATTGTTTACTCATTCATCCACTCACATTTGTATCTACAAAAATAGTAAGTAACAATTGTGATTTAAAGTATTAAAATGAATACAAATGTGAGTGGATCAAACGGTAAACAATATCCGATTAACTTGATTTTTTACAAGTATGTTTTACTTGATGTATTCTAAAATGCAAATGGTTCGAATTATCAAAATGGGCTCCAAAATAGGCCCATTGAGCTGCACAATAAAAACTGCTGTGCACCCTGTACAGTAGTCACCCAAATCTCTTGACGGCTACTTTTTTATTTATTTATTTATTTTTCCTACTCTCTATTTTTCTTCTCAATCTCCCACCATTTCTTCGCCACATTGCCTAAATCAATAGTATACGATTGAAGAATAGCTATTGAAGATTGAAAATCATTGACTGCCATCAATAAGTTTGATTCAACTTTCAATCTGTAATTGTAAATCTCTTTTCTCTTTTTGATTGTGATTATCAACTGAGGGTTTTTTCCATTTTTTTGGGTCTTATTCTTGGTTGATATCTTCTTTATGTGTCGCTTTGTAGTATTTTCTTAACTTCTGGGAGATGGATTCGTGACGGCTTAATTAGGTTATTTGATTAGGGCTGAAATTTTTTTGGTGATCAATCAGTCCTGTTCTTTTTTATTTTTTACCTTCCTTTTGGTTTTGTTTCTGAATGGATTATTGATGGTTTTTTTTAGTGAATACATTTTTTTTTTTTTCGTGTTTGTGTTTGCTTTTTATTTTTATTTCTATGATGAACCAGCCTAATGGTTTAATTCATTATTTTATAGGTGTTTTTACTTAATGGTGAATGTTAATATATGTAGGTAACAGTTTTAAGTGGAGCTAGAGAAAAAGGTGATGGAGAAATATTTTAAAAGAAAATTAAATCAAGAAATGTCTCATCATCCAATAGGTGGTGATTAATGAATGAATGACAGTTTGGTTGTTTACATAGTGAAAGGAAAATGTGTCAAACCCCCTTTTAATGAATGAATTAATGAATGTATCACTAAGCACTATAATAAGTCGTAATTAAATTTGACATGAAAATTTATTGGTCTTATTAATAGTTCATTACTAATGTTAAATTTAAATTATACCTTACCAATGATATATACCTGAAAAAGTGTTTATTGTAGCATGTCTAGAAAAACATAAATAGGGATTTTTTGTATTAAAGACAAATTTAAAATGTATCTGTGCCAACAAATTCATACATTTATTGAAAATACACAAAACACACTGACAGAAGCACTGAAACATAAATTTTTGAGATCTTGTGATTCTTTCATCACATTAGCATAGATTTTACTACGCCAGGTATATGAATGTTCATGAAGTAGTCTTCCCAATTAATGATTTTAGGATCAAAGTAAAATACTTTTGTTTCAACGCTGCTCTCTTTTACTGTCATTTGTAGCTTTTCTGTGTTGGTATCATCATAGCTAAAAGCAAAAACAAGCTCATTATTAGGCACAATGATGATTATAAACATTTATAAATTCCACTAATACAATTTTATAGGTAGTGAATTTGTATATACTTACACGCCCTTGAAGAACAAGTAAGGTTGGTAAAGCTCTATCATTCGCATCACGAATTTGATCTTTCGATGAAGATCGACATACATGCCATGAAAATAATGGCAAAATGTTGTGTTTACTGCACGTAATCCCTAAAAAAAGGGAGGAAAAAAAACATAGGAAATAAACCCAAAAAAAAAGGGTCAAGATTAGTGTTCATGTCAATCAAAAAATCTTGAGTTAAGCTTTCATAATTTATTTTTAAAAAATAGAAGTTTTTTTTTTTTTTTTGGGAAGTTTTTTTTTTTTTTTTGGGTGAAAAAAAAAAAAAAAATAGAAATTAGTTTAACGAAAATAAATATTAAAAAAAATATTTTAAAATTAAAATTCTACAGAGAATCAAAAGTATTTTTAAATTTTTTACAAAGTAGTTTTAAATTATAAAAAAAGGATAGAAAATAAATTTTAAAATCTCAATCAAACTGGGTGTAAGCCTTGTTTAATGCAACTTATTATAAGTTAAAAAATTATAATAAAAAATCATAAGTTAAAAGCACAACTTCTCTAACTTTCAAATAATCAATTTTTTTTCAACTTATTTAAGTTATTTTTATTTAATAAGTTGTAAGCAGAACATGTACCAAATAGTTTGACATGGTGGCCCTGTTTGGTAGAGCTTTTTTTAAGTTAAAGATTGATAATCAAAAAGTAGAAGCTAAAAGTACCCCAATCCTAGCTTCCAAATAATCAGGTTTTTTCAGTTTATTTAAGCTATTTCTGCTTAATAAGTTATAAGCAGAAACTGCACCAAATAGTCTGGTACAGACTCCCAAATCAAAATAAGCTATAATCATAGGGATGACAATTTGAAACTGGCCCGATGGGGACCCGACTCCCTGACCCCGAATTGAGCGAGTTTTTCCCAAAAAATACCCCTGATGGGACAGGGATGGTATTTAAAAATCAATCCCTGAACAGATTCGGGCCGGGGACGGGAATAAGTGTCCCAGCCCCGTACCCAGCCCAACCTCGTCCTCGTCCCCGATCCCCGGTCCGGTTTATCCCCGATGTTAAATTACAATTTTACTCTTATATATATATACGATGGGGACCTGACCCCTTGACCACTATTAGAGCAGTTTTTTCCCGAAAAATATCCCCAACGGGTCATGAATGGTACTCCAAAATAAATCTCCGATGATTTTCGGGCCGGGGACAGTGATATGTTTTTCACTCCCGACCCCAGACCGTCCCCAGCCCCGACCTCGACCCCATCCCCATTAGCCCACCGAATTAAAGTTACTATATATAGCCCTTAATATATGTTATGTTCTCCTTCTCTCTCTCACTCTCTCTCTCTCTTCCCTCTACTCTCTCTCACTCTCGCACCTCTCATCTCCTCTCTCTTACTCTCGCACCTCTCCTCTCCGCCTCATTAGCACAGCCGTCACTATTTACGACGCTGAAGTCGCTACCCACCTCGCACTGCCATTTCATCTCCGTCGACTCCGTTGTTCACTCGAGAGATCTCAGATTGCTGCCCTCAGTTGCTGTCCACCTCCACCTCCACCTCCATCACTGCCCTCAATCACACAGAGATCTCATATCTGTGTTGATCTCCTCCGTCGTTGCCGTCGATTAACCGATCTCCTCCGTTGTCCCCCCCTCTCTCTCTGTGTGTATACATGTATGGGTGTGTCTGTGTGTATGTATAATGTATGTGTGTGTCTTTGTGTGAATGTATACATGTAAGTATGTGTGTGTGTCTCTGTGTATGATTTTTTGAGGATGTTGAAAGTTGTTGTTGATGGTGTTGAATGTTGAAACAAAGTTGGATCGGGGAATTTTCAAGGTCGAGGAAACCCGATCCCCGTTGGGGACGGGGATGGGGACCGTGATAGGTTCTCCGTCGGGGATCAGGGCCGGGGACGGGAAAGTTTTGACCATCGGGGATTGGGGACGGGGAGGGTGATCCCCGACCCCGCCCCGCCCCGCCCTGTTGCCATTCCTATATAATCACCCCATAAAAGCTCTAAAAAACAACCCCAGATTCCAAAATTAAGATAAACTATAATCAACTCATTAAGCTGCGACAAACAAGATTATAATATTGTTTACTAATTAGTTGATGAGTGTCATGAATTCAGCAGAGCCAGGAATTCAGTGAAGAGGGGGTACAAATCAATGACAATATTGATTTTGTTTTTTTTTTCTCATAATAAACAACAATGAGATATCACTAAACTTAAATATTAAGAGTCCATTTGGATAATGTGAATTTTAAATTAAAGGATTTGAAATTAAATTTTAAACAAATATTGGGAGAACTATTTTAGGTGGATTGAAAAATTAAAAAAGAAGATAAGTTGGGATAGAAGTGATATATTTTAGTAGAGAAATTTTATAAAACACACTGCAAAAAAAAATTATCTATCATATGTCGCAGTTATGATTTTCGTGATCTTTAGTTATGACATATTTTAGTATTATATATAATTTAATTATAACTTCTTGTGTTTATTATTTTGGTTATGATTAAAGAAATCTTTGGTTATACATCAAGTAATGATTAGTTATGACTCATTCGAATGTTAGTTATGACCTATTGATTTTATTTTTTATTTTTTATAATTAAAGATGTGTTGCTTGGTTATAATTTATATAGTGGTCATTTTAGTTATGAATAAAAATAATTTGATTATGAAAATTTATAATATCAATACCATAAAGTCATAACTTGTATATAATACACTCCTTTTAGATGTGTATAATAGAAGGATCCATTTAGTTGTTTCTTTGCATTAGAAGAAAAAATTATAATAGAGGAACTATTACAATTTTAAGAAGAAATATTATTTTAATTTTATAGAAGCTATATATGATATAAGCATATTACTATAAATATCAAAACTTTAGGGACATGTACCCCGATCCTACATTGGCTTCGTCCCTACATGGATATGATTAAAAATTCTCATCCTTTTTTAAAAATAATATAAATTGCTAGTATGTAGATTTTTTTTTTTAATAAAAAAATAAAAATAAAAACAAGAGAGGAGACCTTGAGTGGAAGCAAATAACGAATGGCCATGTATTTGTGGAAGGTAGCCATGGAGGTGAGGAGTGTAACTTGGCCAACTTTGATAGGCTTGCCATCCCTACCAATCCATGGATGCTTTTTGAAGTAACTTTGGCTGTAATCTTTAATATATTCTAATTTTATTGGATTTGATACCGAAGATCCCACTTGGTATATCATCATCTCACGACAATTAGGCTTATTTGCATGAGCCGCCATTGCAACCACCATTGAATTCACCACCATGTCAGCTGGTATCTGCATATATCAAAAAAGTGTCTCGAAAATTATCAAGAATTTAATATCTATAGCGTATAGTTAAAATTATTGTTGCAGGGTTATGCTTTAAATGAATCTTAATTATCGATATTAATTAGGAAAAATAATAACTCAGTTGGAGGATGAAAAAAAAAAAAATCAAATTAATGATAAAATTTAGAAATTTTAATTATTAAAGTCATATTTTTTTTCATGTATGCGTAATTACTTTTGAATAATTGACCTAATTTGTAATTTTCCCTATTAATTTCTAGTCAATTTTTTTTAATTTTTTTTACAGAATTGTAGTATAATACAATCTAATATATAGAAAAAGATGACCATCATTTGCATGATACATATAGTACTAGGTAATTATTTAGTAGTACGACACACTATGGTATTATTTATATTAATTGAGGGAGGACTAATTAATAAATAAATAATCATGTACATAATTAATTATAGTTACACAAAATGAATGATCTACGTATAATTAATATGTACTCCCTCGGTTGCATGCACATGATTATTGATTTATCCAAAATATAAGTTACATTTGTTTTGTATTATTAGGTAGGATTTAATTATAAGAAATTTAAATTTTAAAAAAAAATTAATATTTCTTTTGTGGAATATGAAAATTTAATCCGAATAACAAAAATTGTAACTGAATGTAAATTTCATAAATTAATAATCTCAAATCTATGTTATAATCTATCCAATCAAATAGGCTTTTAGATCCATGACATTTTTCAAAATTAAACATGATTTTTGTCAATTCTATAAAGTAACAATCCAATTTTCCCTCTTCAAATCCTTAAACAAACATGGTCTTGAGAGTTTTGTTCACTTATATATCATTGTCATGTTGGTTTTCTTGTGATGTCACACTAGAGGAATATTGATTAATAATTTAATAAATGAGAAAATTGAGTTAAAATTTAGCTCACCAAATCAAGTATACATTCTAGATCACCAGGGAAGAATGTCAATTTCCCTTTGCCGTAACCAACAATTAAGCTGTCAACCGTTCTGCAAGAATGGCAATTACATGTTGAAAGACAGACCAATCAAATGCCACCAAATATATCTGTCTAATATATTTTATTTTTTAAACTAATACTGTAATTAATAAGTCCAGGATCTTTCTACATAAATAAATTTATAAAAGAAAAAAATTTGAGTCTTATACTTTAACAAGTTTTTTTTTTTTTTTCCCCATTTATATTAGGTAAATTACACTCACACCTTTTGAGATTTATCTTTAATACAAGTATCCCCTTAAGTTCTAAAAATTACATCCCCTCCCTAAAGTTTAAACTTTCATTGCAATTTACTACTTCCGTTAGTCAACAGTTAAGTCAACTAACGGAAAAAATTAATATAAAAAATTAATTTTTTAAAATACCTATTTTACCCTTATTTGCATATACAAAATTAACAAACAATTTAACATTTACGAAAATTATTTATGTCTCAGTTGTGGTTTTTGGGTTATGACCTATTGTGACATTAGTTATAACTATTGATTATAACATTATTTTGGTTATGATTCAAAATGTATTTGGTTATACTTTATGCAGTGCTTGGTTATAACTATTTTTTTTAGTTATTATTGAAAGTGATATAATTATAATATTTGTAATAATTAACACCGCAAAAACTTGTGTACCATAACATTACTTAAATGTTTCATAGTATAATAATATGTGTATTGAATGGATTTTTTTTTAATTCCCTGCAAATTTTCTTTACTCATCTAGTATTTTTTTTAAAGAAAAAGGTTTTTTTTTTTTTAATAAGAGTAGAATAGGCATTTTAAAAAATTAATTTCTTATATTAGTTTTTTCTGTTGATTGACTTAACGGTTGATTAACGGAATGATTAAATTGTAGTGAAAATTTAAACATTAGAGAGGGAAATGTAATTTCTAAAATGTGAGAGGATATTTGTATTAAAGACAAAATTCAAGGGGTGTCAGTGTAATTTACCCTTTATATTATGAAAAATATTGAAAATGATGGTTTCTTAACACAAATGAAAACAAAACAAAAAAAACAAAAAAAATGAACATATGATCACACAGTTTCATTTCGAACAAAATGAAAAAATGGTTTGGAATGAAATTAAACTTAGAATGCTCTTATAGCTAGGCAAAATGTTGATTATTACCATATATATATGTGTACATATTTATTATTATTATTATTATTATTATTATTATTAGAATTTAAGAAAGTTTTGGTGAAGAATTTACCTCAAACCTTCAATCCAGCCAGGGAAGGGTTCTTTGTAAGTACTAGTAATGATGGTGGGTCGGAGGATGACAATTGGCATTTCATTTTCTTTCATTTCTCCCAAAAGCATCTCTCCCATTGCCTTTGTAAATACATATGTGTTTGGCCATCCATACTTCCTTGCTCTGCTAAAAAAATAAAATAAATTTTTAAAAAAAAACATAGAATAATTTATTAGGGCTGTGTATAATTTTTTTTTTTTAAAAAAAAATTATATCACAATATTTGACATAGTTATTTTAAAAAAATTATATCACAATATTTGATATAGCATAAATTTACAATCTCTAATATAAAATAATTTAAATAAATTAAAAAAAATTGATTATTGAGATACTAAATGGAGGATTATTTTAATTTATGCTTTCCAATTAAAATTGAAATATGTGAAAATATATTAAAATATACAAAGGTGCATAATTATATGTGAAATGTGTATTGTAATTCTAACTTTTTTTTGAAATTATTTGATTCTTAAATAAGCGATCATTAGTAAGATCCTAAATAAATTAATAAAAGTTTTAGCAAGTAATTGAGTCGATTAATTTAGATTGTTTCATACCTTTCAATACCCAAATCCTTCATTGTCAAGGTAATTTCTGCTTCTGTAGTCTCTTTTCCCCTAAGCTCACTCAACCTCTCTGCCACAATTTTCTTCTCCATTTCAATGTCCAATCCAAGAGTCCCATTAATTGTCTCGCCCATGTAAAAGGGTTTCTCTAAGTTGAGTCCAGCCCTTTCACCAGATACATAAGCTGAAAACACAAATGCTGATTAATTCATGGGCAACCTAATTCACTAGGGTTAAGAAGTAAAACTAAAAATATAAATATTAAATTTGCAAAGGAACAAAGAAGAGAGGACAAGATCATTGTCTCTCACTACAACAAAAAGCAGTTTTGGCGACTAAAAATGTAAATTTAGCCGCTAAAAGTAGGACAATTGGCGACTAAAATTGAATTAGTAGCCAAAAGTCTTCACTAAAACAGTTTAGTAGCCAAATGTGTACTTATTGGCGACTAAAAATCAGATTAGTCGCTGATTATATGGGTTTTAGCGACTAAAACAATTTTAGTAGCCAAAGGTGAAGGTTTTTGGCGACTAAAAAAGATTAGTAGCCAAAAGTATAGGCTTTGGCGACTAAAAAATGGTTTTGTCGCCGATTGTAGGTGTTTTACCGACAAAAAAAAACGTTGTAGCCAAATGTAAAGGTTTTTGGCTACTAAAAAATTTTTAGTAGCTAAAAGTGGACAATTGGAGACTAAAATTGAGTTTAGTCGGCAAAAGTGGCGGTTTTGGCGACTAAAAATCAGTTTAGTCACCGAAAGTGGTTATTTTTAGATGGAAATTAATTTTTTTAGCAACTAAATTATTGTTAGTAGCCAAAACTAAGGTTTTTGGCGACTAAAAAAACTTTAGTCACCAAAAGTGGCTTCCTTTTTTTTTAATAATTAATTTATTTTTTACATAAATTAATATTTGAATAAAAATAATTATATTTATATATATAGTTTTAAATTAATACGGGTCAATATACTACATAAATAATATATATTGCATATATATTCATGTGATCTTGTGGTGGCATAGTGGAGGGAGTGTGTTGGTAAAGGTGTACAAAGTAGAAGGTCCGTGGTTTGAATCTCAAAAAAAGCAAAAAAGTTGGTAATTTTTTTTTTTCACGGAAACACCTTTGGCGACTAAAATTATTAGTCGGCGATTCAGTGAGTATTGGCGACTAAAGGATTAGTCGCTAAATGTATGATTTTGAAAAGTGTAAATCACTATTGGCGACTAAAAGTTAGTTGCGAAAGAGCTGCTTTTTGGCGACTGAAAAAGTTTGTCGCCAATACCTTTGCCGACCATCTATACGCGACAAAACCAGCGACTAAAAAAATTAGTCGGGAAAAGTAAAAAATCGATTTTTGACTACTAAAAACGAATTTTTAGTCAAACTTCCATTAAGGAAACAAATGTAAGACAAGTAACTTGAGTTGAACAGTTGATTGGGTTTGAGCTGGTTACTGAGCCTAATAATGTATTCACTACAAAAATTAAGATTTTAGCCATCAAAATTTAGGGATATAATTATTTTTAGGAATCAAATATTTTTGTTGCGAAATGTGTCATTATTATATTTTTAGCAATGAAAATTAGACATTAGTGATGAATTATTATCTTTTTGGAACCAAATTTTTTGTCTATTTTGAGACCAAATTATTTTGTCCCTAAAGTGTAGTTGTAATTCTACCCGTCGTCCAACAAAAAATAAAGAGAAATGATTCAGTGCTCTAAAATGGGAGCATTAATGTCAGCTCTAATGAGCTGGCAGTGCAAAGAAAAAAAAAAAGAAGCCAAACTAATATATCAGAAATGAGGTCCATATGGTGCCATATCATTAGTGATATATTAATGGGGTTGAATTAGTTGTCTGAAGCATTTTTCAAAAATAAAAGTGATACTAATGTCATTGATCAATAAAAAGTTAAAAAATATATAGAGTTGGACATCTTTTATCTAACTTAATTATATAAAATGCACTACGGCAATGTAATATTAAAGATTTTATTTTATTTTATTTTTATTTTACCAAGCACGCATGTAATTTTAAAACACATTTTCTAAATCCAAGTAATTTGAACCTTATTTCCAAATAAATGTTGTTTGTAAAATCGTGTTTTGAAAATATAATTTAAGATTTAAAGAGTTCTAAAAGTACGACTTTACATGAAAAGTCTATAACAATAAGGTTATATGTTATTTGGTCTAAGATATAATTTATTGGGAAAATTACTGGTCCGTGATGTTAGTAAAAAATTATTACAAATTCATGATAAAAATTATAGCATTAATTATTAATATTTATAATATTTATCATCTATTTATAATTATTTTTTGTTAATACTATTATGATTTGATGTATTCAAATAATTATTTATTGATCTAATATCAATCATATTATTAAAGTGATCATATGGTTATGATTATTTATTTAATTAATGGGATTTTTTATATAACTACTTTTATTAAAATATTTTATAATATAAATAATTTTAATTACTGAAATAAGTCTCGTGACAAGTTTACAATGGCCCAACAACACAACCAAGTTAAAATTATCAATTAAAGACATGCACCTTCTTTTTTAATATATTTATTAAGGAGTGTTTGATAACATAATTCAACACTTAAAATTGAATTGATTAAGTGATAATCAATTAAATCTGTTTGATAATCATGATTGATATCTCTTAAAAATCTAAGTGTCTCTTAAAATGTAAGTTAAAATTTAAGAAAATTCTAAATCATATAAAACATACTTAATTGTAACTGAATTTATAAATACTAAATATAAGTATCAATATATACTTTTATAAACTCACCATCACTATCACTACTACTACCACCACCACCACTACTACTAGTACCACCATCATGCCACTGCCACCGCCACTATTACCACCACCACCATCATCGCTATCGCTACCACTACCACTTACACCACCACCATGCCACCACCACTACTACCACCACTATTACAGCCACCACCACCATCATGCTGCCACCACTACTTCTATTATCATTACCATCACTATTGCTACCACCACCGCCACTACTATCATTAGTGCTACCACCACCACCATGCCACTACCACTACTGCTACCACCGCCACCACCATGCCACTATCACTATCGCTACCACCATCACCACCACCGTTGTACCACTACCATCATTACCATGACCACTATCATAATTTAAAAATTAAAATATATAATTTAAAGGTAATAAATTTTAAATTTAATTTTATGCATATCAAATAATTTATTTTTAATTCAGCACATAAATTTTTATCAAATAATTTTTCAATTTAAAAAATTCAATATTCAATTTTTAATACTTAATTTTTTAACTTTTAATTTTAATTTTATCAAATAGCACCTAAATTGACGTGATTGTTTGTGTAAATTGCCACCTAGGCAGCCAGCAAGTTTCCGTGCCAACGAAGACTTGACTTATTATTATTACTAATGACTGGTAGATGCTATATGTGTGCCATTTAAATAACAAAGAATAAATAAGAAATTAATTAATATTACAATATGTATATTACTTAAATAATTAATGTGTTTTTAATGAAATATAAAATTTTGACTTCAAACTTTATTTGAGCTTTAGGATAATAATTTTTGGCAGTGGCTTTGGTCCAGTCCAAGGTCGGACTGGACCATGCTGTTGGGTTCGTGGGGGCTCACCACGGGTCCCATTTTGATAATTTGAACCGTTCAATGTGTAGAACTCGTCGAGTACTATATGCTTATAAAAAATCACATTAATCGGATATCGATAGCTATGTGAACAAAACAGTTTTTTATCAACGGTTAATTGTTTCACCGTCCATTTTTTATATACAAAACTGATTTGATCATATAGTTATTGATATCCGATCAACGTGATTTTTTATATGCATGTAGTACTCGACGAGTTCTACACATTAAACGGTTCGGATTATCAAAATGGGCCCAAAAAATGAACCCCATGAGCCGAACTGGATGGGTCCAGTCTTGATCTCAACTTGAGACAAGCTGGACCCATAATGTTTTATTTTAATATTTACAAATCTACCACATGACATGATGAAAAGGTTTGAAACTAGATTCACATATATTAATATTGATATAGATAGATTATTTCCAAACCTAAAAAAATATTTTTATTACTGGTAGACCCTAATTATTTTAATTTTAGTTTACTAAAATCCAATTAAAAATACGTTTATTAGTGGTAGACCCTAATTATTTTTATTTTAATATACTAAAATCCAATTAAATCTCGTGCTTAATACCAAATCCAAAAATAAAACTATTTTTATTTCTAAAATTCAACTGATTTTACTTTACCAAACTTCTCTTTAATGCAATTCATTATTTTGAAATTGAACTTTCTTATATTTTCTCTAAATTTGTTCAAATTTTGTGTCAATCCAGGTTTTAGAATTTGAATTAATTATTACTTGTTAATTGTTTATTTAATCAAACTAAGATGCGCAAATTAGCTATGCCCACGAATTGTGTTTGATTATGTATTGTTTGGTAACCAAGAAAATGTAAAAAGAATAGAGCCACAGACCCTCCAGCAGGGCTGCAGTGTGTAGAAGCTGCTTGTGCTTACCCAGGAAAATTATTAAATAATTATAATATTGTTTACGCATTAAATAAAAAATCGCAACTCACCACTCTTTTAGCACAAAACACTGCAGAAAAGTTTTAGAGACAAAAATGTATTAGAGACAGAATATTTTTTTCGTTAAAAGTATTATTATTTTATTTTTAGTGGTAAAATTAAATATTTAGTGATAAATTATTAACTCTTTGAGATTAAAAGTTGTCTAAAAAAATAAACATTTTTGTTACCAGGTTATTTTGTTTATTTTGTTTATTTTTTTCTAAAAGTGCATTTATTAACGATATTTTTAAAATTTACTAAATAAAAGCTCATTTTTTAACTCTTTGAGACGATTTTTTAGCGACTGTCTTTGCGACAATTGAAATTAGTTCTTAAATATTTTTTACAATAAAATTTATAATTCTAGAGACAAAAAACTTAGTCTCTAAAATTCTTATATGTTGTAATGAAATATGAAATTTTATTACAAAATTTCGTAACATTAACCACAAAATGCGTAATTTCGTCACAAATTGACGTAACAAAAAATGTCATAACCAAGTCACAAAATTTTGCAAATATCAACTACAAAATTTTAAACATTTTATTACGTTCATTTATGACTAGGTGACACATTTTATAATTGATATTATAAAATTTTATGATAAAATTACATATTTTATAATAGGATATAATGTAGATATGGTGTGCACCCGAACATTTTCGTTGTTGCCCGCATACCTCATTTTGCAACCGTTGTGAGGCTGACTTGGCATCTGCAGCTCTTACAAGAAGATAAAGCTTCTTCACATTTGGTTGAACTCTTAGTATCTTTTCCACAAAAACTACAACCCATACAATCAAATCATCAGTCTATATATATAGACAAGATACATTCTATAGAGAGGAAGAGAGAGGGGGAGAGAGAGAGTACTCTTTGCTAGAAAGCCAGTGGCACCAGTAACTAAAATGGTCTTGTTCTCAAGAACCTGGATAACACTACCCAACTCCATTAGAGAGTAAAATGACAAGAAAGAGAGAGAAGTAAAGAAAGTGAGAAACAGGAAAAGAATGAGAGAGAGAGAGAGAGCAACTGAGATACAATTATGTTTGCTTGTTTAGGCCAATGTAGTGCATCTTATATATATACAGATAAACATATATGGGGTGGTGCTACAATGATATAGAGGGTGGAGTGCACCCAAGTAGTTGTTAAATTCTTTGATAAATTTTAGAGAGTTTGGTTGGTTTATTATACATAGAAAAACAAGACCCACCGCAATTCACTTTTGTTTCCATGATTTCGTGAGGTTATCTACATATTTCAAGCCACATTTGTCACAACATGCACCAGAATTTATTTATTTATTTATTATTAATTTTCTTTGATGGCACATTAGAATTGGCTAGTTGTGTTTAATAAATCTAACCTACCTCTAAGCAATATGTGAGAATACATTAATTAACCTCTCAATTATTATCTCTATTTGAAGGTGAACTAACTTAGAAGAGTAATACATTTAATATCTCTAGGATTTTTAAACTTAGAATATCAGAGTGCTCTCGAGCAACATATATGACAGATCTCTTCTTTGTTGACCTTTCTTCATTATAGGCTAATTTTTTTTTTCCACACACCGTACAATCCACTTTGATAAACTACAAACAAGTTGAGAGGGAGATTTGAGATTTGAAATGGGCCGAGCTAATCTGAGCCTTAGCCAAGGTTTTTACTCGAACAGAATGAGGTCGTATGTTACACCAGGGTTTGATTATGGCAGGGCATTGGACATGCGTTGGACCGAAGTCACAGCCTGGTCGAGTCGGTGATAGGTGGAGATTCTAGCCCAGTTTGAGATATGCATTTCCAGAGGACGGAGTTCGTTCTCAGAAGGCCAGATTCCACCGAGCAAGAGCTCGGTCGATTTTGGAGTCGGTTGGATCCGCAAATAGGTTTGTTTGGTAGCACCGAACAGGTAGCGTGGCCTTGACAAGGATTGTGGTACCGCGCTTGTTATAGCTTAGCGAGGTATGCTACGTGGCATAACTTAATTGCTGGAAGGAGATTTCGCCGTCCGTATGCGTTAATACCGTTAGGCGATATTGACATTCGATGTTTAGTAGTATTTGCACGCACACGTGGATGAATGTAAGAGGGGAACATATCCACGCGTCAAAAGGAGGACAGACAAAGAAGAGCGTGCATAAACTATATAAACGGAGTTGTATCTCCATGCAGAGGTCTGGAACATCTGGTTATCAGAGCTACCTACCCCTTCATCTCTCTTTCTCTCTTCTTCTCTCTAAGTGTGCTAACTTGACCGTCGGAGAGTTTTTCCGGCAGTACACTGCCAGATAGCTCACCATTTTGTGTTCTCAGGTCACTCAGAAATAAGCGAAACTTGGATACGAAGAGTACGAAAAGCGACGAATCTTCCCTTCCCGTACACAAGCTAATTCCTACATTACACAATAACTCTCAATTAAATTGCCATTCTTACGAGTGTGAATCTCTTTCTCTCTCTATATATGTATTAATGTACTATGACCCACTAGTCACTATACATTTGGGTTGGGTGGTTGTGCATATGCATTTGTTCTACTTTCCACATAATGACATATGCAACTGATGGTGGCCTCAAGTTTGGCCATCCCCACTATTCCTATTTTTGTAATATTATGTACTCAAAAATTTTATTCAGAATTTTATTTAAAAAATTAATAAGTGATTAAGATTCATTCTTAGTATGGATTCATAAAACACTAATTAAATCTCAATCTTACAATTCTTTTCCTAATAAATTTTTAAACAATAATTCTGAATCAATAAACATTGTTATTTAGATGTATCGGTGAGATTTAAACCTTTGTTTTACAAAGTTGTAAATCAAAAGGTCATTGCTTTACCATTATTAATCGAAGCCAACTCTTTATTATATTGATTTGTTCAGCATTTTCCCATTAACTATTTTTTATCCATTTGTGTGTAAGGGTGTCTCACTAATTTGACAAATGCAAAAATGGGTAATAAGTGAAGAAAAGAAAAGGTAGGTAGCTAAAGAAAAGGATTTGCAATAAAACCCACCAACTTTGTCATTCATATCCCTTTCCTACCTCTTCATAATAACTCTTTATTTAATTATGAATTTATTTTAATTTTAATTTTAAAATTTTATGCGAATATTTGGTGTAACTTTTACTTATAGTTTATAAGTTAGAAATAATTTAAATAAACTAAACAAGTTTATTATTGAAAAATAAGGTGAGAAGTATTTTTAGCTTTTGTTTCTTAAAAGAAGCAAACTAAAGAGAGAAAAAACAATTAGATATAAAAGTGCAATTTTAAAAAAATTAAGGGGAACATGATGTTCTTAATCTCAACGTGGCTTCACCACCACGGACAATACATCTGCTTTAAATCCATAATGCTACATCGTCATAATCTCATTTGAAATGTAGTGATCCAATTTATTATAAATTTCTGACTCAGATTAACTTTAAATCTGCAATATATGCATCAAAGTTCTAAACAAAAAATTTGAGTACATAGCATTTATGGCCTGAAATATTCTGAACATGCTTGTATTGTGTATTGACGTGGACACATGTATTTTTTTTTTTTTTTTTCAAATGAAAGGAGAACAGAGTTAAGAGTTTAGTACAAGCAAATAAACAAAATGGGTAATCAGACCCTCCTTGAACTACCAGACACCATGTTGTCTGCAACTAAAAAGGAAAGGCTAGAACTTGGTGGGTCATCTAAGAAGACAAGATGCTCTATTTGGCTAACTCCAATGTTCACGTGGGCACATGTATACATATATGGTAATATCAACAATTGTTGTACTTAAATTTTGGCTTCCGACTTTGTTAGTACCTTTATTCATTTTTTTAAAAAAATTTGAGGTCTAAATTCAAGTAATGCAAAGTTGTTTCATATACAACTCCAGTTAGGAATTTACGGTTTACCTACCCTATTGATGGACATTTTGATTCTACCTCTCTACACCTAATGTGTTGGTTGATGGGTTGTGGGTTCTCATTAAGAGCTAGCATTGGTGGACTCAGTCAGTCTATAAAAACAGAGGTTAAACTCCTCTGTGGATTAAGTTGATGAGCTTTTTTTGACAGGCTCGGTCTAAGCGTGCCCGTGGGTCAAAACTTTAGACTCAATTCCTATTCAATGGGTGAGCCAAATAGACTGGATACGTGCTTGGCCCCGAGCCATCAGGCCAAATGACAACCCTTAGTTTTTGATGGTCACATTTATCTTAGTTCATTATGTCACTATCATTTGGTCAGTGATTTTTTTTTTTCTCAATTTTTTTGTTCCAATATTTTCTCAATTATTAAATTACATGGGAATTTCGATACACGAGTATCTCAAGACATGATAATATGGTTAAAACTATGTAGAAATAGAGGAACAAAAAAAAAAATTGGAGAACTAAGAACTGTCCATCAAGTAAAATGCCAATATAAAGTGTATCTATACACTAAGAATGCTACATCCACACAATTTCCTCCACAATCCTCATAAATGAGGTGACAAGCAAAATCTAAAAAGTTGACCCACACTCTAATTGATATAGAATTTGTATTATATCTTGCGATCTCATTTGTGAGAATTGTAAAAGAGAAAATTGTGTGGATGAAACATGTTTATAAAAACATAATAGTTACATTGATACCATAAAAGAAAATTAAGTTGGTTGAAATAAATATTTATTTATTTATGCACATCTTCTCAAATTCACAGACTGTATTAACACAAGTTATTAAAAACGACATTGAAAGCAATGAAGTTATTGTCACAGCGTTTTAAAATAAGATGACAAATGCAATGAAGTTGTGACAATTTAAGATATGTTCTAAGTGAAATTGCATATAATTCATTATTCATGACAAGTTCAAATTAATTAACTTGCATAGACAATGGTATTTGTTGGTTGGCAAATGGTATTTGTTTTATTGGGTACCTACATAATTGCAACATCAATTACAAGAGTATTTAAAATTATGAAAAACAACAAAACAACATTGTAAAATTGTTTTCCAATGTTGGTCCAATTCAGTACTGTGATTTTAAAATTGAGATTTAAGGTGTTAATAATTTTTAAAAATTCACAACTATGACATCCGATTATTAATATGTACATGCCAATACTTTTGATGTTTGTACATTAAGACCCATAGTGATACATGTCTCGATACCATAATTTAAAAACATGCATCCAACATCCAAACGACAGTTATTAAGGTATATTTTCTTCTTTATATTTAAAATTTTATTCAGAAATATAAATGTGTGGTCCAAATTTAATGTATACATTATCTTACAATATACCATTTGAATCTCAACCCTTCATTTATATTCTAGGTCATTTTCTTGGTACAAAATTCTGTATACTTAAACTTTTCCTAGCTAATAAACACCATGAAGATTTTGAAAGAATTTATGGTAACCTTGCTGCCATGACATCTGTGACTAGAAGAAACCACAGTACAATGCTTTTGAAAACATCGAGCAAACTGAAACTAAAGCATATAAAAAAAATTCATGTGAATTATTGTTGGGATTTTCTTACTTGCCAAGACCAATTTGTCTCAATCTTCACATCTATTTTACATTATATAAAGCATATATTTGACTTAGTGCAAATTGTTTTAACATTTTTTTACTTTTTAAAAATGCTCTTCTTATTCAGTAGTTGTCATGTCACCATTCATACCTGTGGGAGGCTAAAATGAGCTATAGAGAAGCAGGACCAAAAACTAGGTCTAGACTGATGAACTGGCAGGTTCAGGAAACAATATGAGTCCAAGACCCGGGGTCCAGACATAGGATCGGGAAGCAAGACCAGGACACGCTCCAAAAAGGGGCAGCCTAAGTCAAAGGCCTATTCATGAAGTAATGGCCTAACTAACTCCTAGATAATCGCGCCTAAGCAGTGCAGGATCCTTAAAAAAAGGGATTGACGTGAGGATTGGGAGGAGACATAACCGCCACAATGGCTAGTCGGAGCAGAGTATTTAAATAAAGGTGTCACCCAAAACTAAGGTATACACACACATCCCAACACCCCTACTTGAACTTTCACTCACATTTTCTGCTCCTTTGTCTATTGGTTCAC